TTTCCCCTCTTTCCTAATGTATAGCTATAACTGTCAGATGTCCATTTTCAAGCTGTTTATACAGATTAAAAATGTAGATATATGGTACAGAAAAATTATTTTAGTTCTACACAGTCTGGGAAATCATTAATTCACAGTTGTCAAAAGAAAATAAAACAAAAATTTTAAAACATGAAAATAACTCTCATAGTGTTAAGAAATTATAGTTCAGTAGAAGCAACATGTATCTTAATAAAGAAAAGTGGAGTGAAATAAGCAGGGAACCAACTGCACAGTGTTAAAGAGCTACCTCTCTGCACCTGGATTCCACCACGAGTAACAGAATAGGGTCCTGGGCATGGGGCTCCCAGAAGGGCAGTGTTTGGTGACGGTAGGAATACTGCCGTGGAGTCTACAACTGGCAGGTTATTTAGGGTCAAAATGGCAGATGTTGTAACTCTGAAGACTGCAGAATAATAAGAGTCTGGTTACAGAACAAAAAGGAGTGGATAGGCAATAATTTCCCAGGGGGTTGCATTTTACTGATAACCTTTTGAGTGCAAGCATAACAATGAAGATAAAACCATGCATTGTCATGCATGAAGCTTTGCATGCTGCCCTTAAACACTGCCTCTCCCTCCCACTACCACGTACCATATAATTTGCATACTTCTGCCATATGCAAGCTCTCCCAACATCTCTGAGGCCATATGATATAAACTGTCACTCTAATTAGAAAACTGACTTCCACCTGAAGGTCAGAGCCAAGGCGATGGAGTCCCAGGCTCAGCTCCTCGGCCTCCTCCTCCTCCTCTGGGTCTGTGGTAAGAGAAGTACTTCTTCATTGCATTGAGTTCTTTAAATCTTGACAAAAATATTAGAAAATTTATTTTTATTATCCTCTACAAGTATGATACATTTGATTTATAGTTCTTATTTTTCTCTGTAAACAGATACCAGGGCAGAAACAACACTCACACAGTCTCCAGGATTGGTGTCAGCAGTGCTAGGGGACAAAGTCGACATCACCTGTAAAGCCAGTCAAGACATTGATGATGATCTGCACTGGTATCAGCAGAAACCAGGAGAAGCTCCTACACTCATTATTAAAGGTGTTTCTACTCTCATCTCCGGGGTCCCCTCCCGGCTCAGCGGCAGTGGGTACGGAACGGATTTTACCCTGACCATCAATAATGTGGAACAGGAGGATGCTGCTTATTATTTCTGTCAACAGGATGATAATACACCTCTCACAGTGCTTCACTCTGTTACAAAAACCTCCAGATGCCCTCAGTGGGATCCTCTCGGCAGCTACTGAAAATGTCCAATACGTGGAACCAGGTGGCCATCAGCCTTTATTAGGTTTCTCTATCATGCGTGACTCACTTCCTTTTCCTGTTTCTGTAGTTTCTACTGCCCCCAAGGCTGTGCCTGACATTTCTGACATGGTAGTGTAACAGCCTTCACCACCTTGGCCAGCTGCACCAATGACCTGGCTTTGAAATTTCTCATGGTTCAGTCTGCATCTTTTGTCATGCATATCCAAAGACCAAGGTGAATCGAGCTTAGGTTCCAAATGGTAGCATTAAAGGAAACTTCCCTCTCCTTCTGAGCATTCTCACACTCATGCGACGGTCACCCTGACTCTTTCCTTCCCCACTTAGTGTGCACCTGCTCCTCCTCAACCC